CATACTAGATTTAACCCAAACAAGAATCAAAATGACCAACGCGGGTGAGAAATATTGGGTAGAAAGACAAGATTAATGGTGAATAGTAGTTAATGACAGTTTTATACGAGATTTTTAAATTAATGTAGATCGACTAGAGACCCAAAAATTTTGGGGGGGGTAAGGGGAAAAAGGGCAGGTGGTCCAATACTCTAGAGTTCTTCCCTATTACTTTGGCTTCCGCACAGTGTAATAAGGACAATCTATTAATGATAAATACTTGAAAGTTTTGTAGTTTCAGATTCAGAAGAATGATGTAGAACTGTGCCAATTTATACCACTTCATCACTTTTAATTGTTAATCAATCACGTACGTATGTATGTGTACCACCCAAGTGATTCAGTTTATGTGGTTTAACTTTCACATTTAAGTTTTCCCTTGCAACTGTTTATAAAAACGCTAATTTAAAATTCAATATAGAGCAACAGACAGCCACAGCTGCACTGGATGTGTCCATTACCATTTCACTTTGTTGGTTCACATTGCAATGCCATGGCAGATCTTCCAACATTGGACATTGCTTTTATGTTGTCTGCAGTTAACGTATGCTTTGATCTATTGCAATTGCCACTACCTTCAGCAGTGAATAACAAAAACCACAACCGCAACAAAATTCCTGAAAGAATTGCTGCAGCCAGAGCATTTGGGGCATTGGTGGCTGACCGGCCGGACGGCCGCCTCAGCATGCATTCACAAATAACCACATACGAAGTATGTACGTTAGGGTGGTCCTTAAAAAATCAAATCAATACCACGAAAATCCCCAAATCAAAACCACGGTCGCAGATATCACAAATAAATTTTCGTCCCGATTGGAGACGGTAAAGACGTGTCGCACAGGGGGAAAAGTATAGATTCCTCTATAGAGACTGACAAAATTAAAATAAAATTTTTTTTTAAGCTAATACTTAAAATCGATACTACCGTAGTCGAAGACTTAACATATAAATTTTGGTCCCCATTGGGGTCGGTTAAGACGTCCTCATAGGGTAGTCTGAACTTTGACCCGTGTGCGACACGACTTAACCGACTTCAATCTGGACCAAAATTTATGTGTGATATCTTCGACTATAGTAGCATCGAAGTAGGGGTTGAGGCTTAGAAAATCTGATGCATAAATTTCCTTCCTACGTTTAAGGACCACCCTAAGGTACATGTGCACATTATCATACTTACGACACGTGCCATTGCAAAGCTATGTGTGTACAAAAAGCTTAATGGGATTGGTGAAGATTCGTTGATGCATTGTCTACTGCATGGGTGCTTTCAAAAAATCAAACTTCCAAAATCAAAAATAAATAGTTGAAAGCATTTGAAATATACTTTATGTGTACTAGTATTTGGGCTCCACTTTTATCTTAGTGCAGGGCTAAGTGTATTTGGATAGAAATTTTCGTCCCTTACCTTAAAAATAACCTTTTGACATGATGATGCGATTGATGCATTAATGGGGAATTCAGATCTAAATATTTTTCTAAACAAAGCTAACAAGTACTATAGAGACATATGTATGTAAATATGTTTTACTAAAAAACGAAATGAACATTCCTTAGTTTTATAATATCTCCTGATCTAGTTTATTTATGTTCACAAAGCGTATAGTTATTTATGTATGTTCGAACTATTTTTTAAACACATTGATTACAAATATAAATCATTCCTTACAAATGCTTTTAAATAAAAATTCCATCATACAAATTTGTGTACACATTTTTTTTTTAACACTTTGGAATAGCGCACTATCCATCAAGTGTGAAACTACAATGAAGCTTTCTACCCTGGGCTGCTTACGCATTGCGTATGAGAGAGACCGTGCATTCAGTTTGCCTTACTCCATAACGCCATTTCCATATTCCCCATCCACATTCGTAATAAAGGGATCAGGAGTAAAGGAGTACACACACACACACACTTCTGCATGAACTACATTGCTTTCGACCGCGGTCTTGTGCTTAGAGAGGATCGGGAGGTCAAATAGGTGCACAGGTATACATACATATAGACATATGTACCATTGCGTTCGAAAAGACACAAGCAGGCATTCGATAACGCCAAAAAATTATCCATCACTCAAAAATGGAGAGAACAAAGTGGATCAATGCAACAGAGACCCTGTTTTTGTGCTGAAAAAAATTTAGCTATCAAACTCGGGCCAGGGATGGAACCCAGGTGCAGCGGTGTGGCAGTATGCACCTCTAAGGCTTTTGCGGACGATGTGGCCTGTCTTGTCACGGGCCATCTCTGCCGGCTGTTTGAAAGCGCAGACAAAACTGATTATGATTAACACTTAGTGTAATGGCATTGGGTTCATTGCTAACCCAACCAATACTAGTGGTGTGCTCTTCACTAGTAGGAGACGGTCGGATGATCTTACTCCTCTCACATTCAAAAAAGTCGCAATTCAGACTTCTTCCGAAGTGAAGTATTTAGGAGTAATTTTGGACACAAACTATCGTGGAAATCTCACGTGGAGCAGAAGACCACTAAAGCATTGGTGGCATTTTTGCATGTAAACCGATCTTTGGCAAAATGTGTAGTCTGTCACCAAAGGATTGCCTTATTTATACCTCTAAGACCAGACTCATAACCAATAGCAGAGAGCTTTCTATACAATATCCGGCGCTGCTCTTGACGCATTGCTGCAGTTACCGTCACTTTATGTCTTCATACGTGGCCAAGCCTTAAAGGCCACCTGCAGATTAAAAATAAACGGATGATGGATAGTTGTGAGTGAGCGAGGCGGGAATTGCTGGAGGCAGAGTTCTGAGCACTTGTGTCTTTTTAATGTCACAGTGGCGTACTATCCACCATTAACTTTGTTGCAGAGATTCTAAAATCTTCAGTTTCCCGAGGCTGAATTCTTGTTCATTTCCAGCACTGCGCCCGGACTCACACATTATCTAATCTTTACTGATGGCTCCACATTGTCTACGGTTTACTGATTCTGGATCAGGAGCTGGGGTCTTTAACGAAAGTAATGGGCATAAGCTTCACCTTCCTCTTGGGAATATGCGGCGTTCTTCTAGGCTGAGGCATTTGTAATCCCTAAAGCCGTGGACTACGTAGTGAAATATAGGCGGAGGGGAAGGAGTTTACGTGTCTGCAATGACATTTAAGGCATTGGCCAGCCTTCTCTCTAACCACTCCCAAAAACAAGTCTCGACTAAACTTTGTTGGTAGACATAAGGAGTTTTGCCTGACACCCAGAGGTACTCGAGAATACCTGGTACTGTGACATTTGGCCAGAGTTAGCTAAGACCAGGCATTCTTTGGTCCGCAACCAGTTACAGAACTCACGCCTTCGGCCATCAGTAACTGGGTGAATACTTCGCTCAGCAATGACTGGGAGGCATCAAGGAGCTGCAGGTGGGCAAAACTCATGTTGCCTTCAATCTCAGAAGGTCTATCTAGTATTTTTTGCTCTAATTTAGCGGAGGGGACTGCAGACAACTTGTTGGACTGCATACAAGTTTTTGGACTGCTGCTGACTGGTCACTTCACGTGGCACAAACGCCTGACTGGATAGGCGTACATAATAAATCCATTTGCCCAACTTGCTTTGAAGGGGATGAGACTTTTTGTGTTTCTACCCCGCTTTTGCAAAAATTACTTATGAAGCATTTGGGCGCGTTGTGTTGAGGGACCTGCGCTCTTTGACACCCAAAAATCTGATTAGGTTTATGCGTAAATCGAGCAGATTTAAAACAGAATAAAGGGGACATGAAAACAGTACAGTGGGCGGAATGTAGCCTGAGTGCTATTTTCTGCACGCGTTGCTCTGTGCGTGGCTTCGACAAAAAAAAACACACTCTAATTTTTTGATTTTAGGATAGTGCTAACTAATTATACCTTTCATGACTATGAAATGGTATTATAACATTGGTCCGACGTTTGTAAGAACCAGAAGAAGAAGAGATATACCCAAGAAAATGTATACCAAAATGATCACAACGTCGATCTGAGTAGTTTTACCCATGTTCATCTTTCTGTTTGAACGCAATATAATCTCTCAGTTTTTAAGAGATCTGTGTACTTCTTTAATGTATTAATACCGTGACCATTCGTACCGATTTAGGCGGGACAGTACCAATTTTTAGAAAATTGTCCCGCTGAATATTTTTTTAAATTCGGGACGTATAAGTGTCCCGATCTTTCATATTTGTGCCGATTAAATCCCGATTTTCATTGTTTTCTTTATTAACCTGTTGAGGACCGATGCTGTTTATAGGCAACAATGATATTTTCCCGCCCAGAAACGCAAAGTTTTACGCCTTCTCACTTTAGCTCGCTCCCAAACGGGTGCTTGGTCACTACTCAGAGGATACGTGAATATAAATATCCGGACGTTGTGAGCTGCGATTTGAACCGTACGCACAAGAATCACTTCTGGCCACCCCCAGGTGAATGCCAGTCAAAAGCTTTCCCCTTATGCGTACGGAAACATCATCAGAAATGGATACAAAAAGAACCTTATAGCATGTTTCTATACAAAATTTAAGCACTTCTTTGCGACACTACAGCAAAATGCGAAGAAACCTACTTTCGCCTTCCACGGCTAAAACGTATTCCGCGACAGAAGCTTTTCAAGTACATTTTATATGCATGGGCGCAAAAAGGTAACGGCTCCTTCTTTTCATAAACCAAAGCAATAAAATATAAAGATTTCTCTGTTATTTAATTTTTCCTCCGCAAGATTAAATCGTCGAGTGCACGTGAAAGCTATTTCTAACGAACTTTTTTTAAAATTAATTTTCCAATAAATACTAACTATTACTCACCTTATACACAAATTATAATCTTGCAAATTAAAGTAAATAAAATGAAATTGCAAACATTTTCATATGCTTTCATGCGCAAAACAAATAACAGCAATTCAAAACATAAAATAAAAAATACAAGAGAACTCAGCGGTACTTTTTCCCAATTTCTGGGTTTTAACTTTTGCCAATTGTTCACATACCCGTAAATTTTTCCTTGGTTACGAATTCGACATGAAAGTGTTCCTTTAAATTTTTTATGCGATTATAATCGAAATTTCGTACATTTTCAATTAAATCCTGCCAAGCCGAATAAAAGCGATTACTATTCAATGAATTTGGTGATTCCAATGAGCCTGATGAGTTTGTCATTGTCGACTCTTGTTGCTGTTGAACTTTTGTTGGTGATACTTGTGCTGTTGTGATTAATGGTTTATGTTTTGCCGATAGTGGATTTTGAAATTTAGCCGAATGAGTATTGGAATTAATGATAGCTGAAAATAGTATGAAGATGAAGAATAATTTTGATATATGAATATGTAAGATGTTTGCCAAAAATTTGAGAGAAAATGTTGAAAAGAATGCCATGTACTAGTTGTTGTTTTTACATATGTAAGAAGTTAGTTGAAAACGAAAACTTTTAGAAAGCAATAGAAACTAATTGTTTTGTGAACTTAAGATACTTTTTAGGAAATTAATTAAGATTTAAAGGAAATGAATTTTGCAAATGTCGGTGAGTAGAAAAAAAATATATACTACTTTGAAATACATACTATGTTAGTGAATTGGGTAATTATTAAAATATTAGACAAGCCTTCATCGAAATCCCTTTATGTTCCACAATCCAATTGTTGTCTTCGTTAACATTTCCAGTACTTATAATATTCACTGAAATAGAGGTCGATGCATCACATACATTTAAACTAAAAAAAAAATCAGGATTTCAGCTTTAAACTAAATGGGAATGCAGCTTAAACAACCGAAATAAGAGCTCTGCGACCTGTGCCACATTTTATGCCAGAGTGTTCGAGAGTTTTTGTTTTAATATCAAGCTTGGTTATAATTAGCAGGAGAAACAATTATCAATTGTTTAAAAAATAAGCCACTTGTAGTTAGCTTTTTTGCGGTATTACGGGATATATAACTTGTAGTTTACTACAAAGAGCTCTCTTGAAAAAGTAATGCAGGAGTCATGCAGACGTAATTGGGAGAGGTTTTTCTTTAAATAAGTTTCTATTTAAATATCCTCAAATTTTACTTAGAATCAAATTTTTTCCGCACTTCTCAAATACTTTTTCGAAATCAGCACAAATAAAATGAAGATCGAAATTTTATATTTAGTTAGTTCACAAAGTGTTGTATACCGTGGTATTGTTGTATGTGGTAAACTTCAAAAGCTTAAATAAATGTTTACAGCACTTGAAACTACAACCAACTATCTTTTAACACAAGACTTGTTAACCATCGTAAAATCTTAAGCTTAAAATTTTTTATGTCAAATAATGATTAAAATGGGTTAAGAGGATTTCTAACTACGCCGCATTGTTTTTAAACCGATAAAAAATATATAATTAGCCCCTTAAAACTATTTTAAGCGTTATTTTAAGCGCGTTATCCATGGATGTTCTGCAGTTGAAAGTGCGCAATCTTACTTTGTTATGATTAAACATGTTTTCTTTAAAATGGCTCATTCTTTAAAATGAGATTATACTCTGAACGTTCTTCGATACCTACAAGTAAAGATATAAGCCCGGTTCTTGAAGAAAAGTAATGTACCCCCCCTTCATTTTAATGGGTACATTACTTTTCTGTGTGACGTAGAAACGCAAGTAATTATTGATATATATGCAAGAATGATAGAATACAAGATTGCGCCGATCAGAGAGGATTTTTGAGAATAACTTTTGAGTGACGTCACACTGGTGCAATTGAAGAAAAAATGTTGCAAGGAAAACGTAAACAAGTTGCACAAGTGTGACCTCATGCAAACAACGATTCTGTCAAATTCGTTAAGAGAGGAATAGCGGTCCGAGATCGGCGCAACCTTTGTATTCTCTCAATCGTGATATATATGTATATATAGCATATGTATGCATGTAAATGCATTTATAACTAACAATGAAACTCACCAGATAGGTCTATACAAATGTGAATATAATCCATAGATGAATCACTAAAACGTATGCTCAACTACACACATACTACATATGTATGCAAATATATGTACATATGTACATGCATGTGCACATTCATATTTCAATAAAAAGGCGGTTCGTAAAAATCATAAACAAAATAAAATTGACCTTGAGAATATGGTATAAAGTCAAATTTACGATCTTGAAATACTATGATTTATGTTAATCCAAGTCAATGAAAAAGGCTAAGGAACAAATCCGCGCAAAGATTTTATAAGGCTAAGGTATGTAAGTGCTAAACAAAAGCTGCACACACAATACATAGTACATATGAACATTGGGGTGCACCAAAAATTTATGAGCAAAAGTGAAGTCGGAATTTTTAAGCCCGCACACCCTATTTTTTATTTTGAAATCAAAAAATGTCTAGAGGTCGCTCAAATATGGGAAAATAACAACTTTTCATGGAGATGGTACCGAATTTTTAGCAGTCAATATATTTCGTTCGAAAAACTCTGCGTCTCTGAAGGAGATTCCCTCCAATAAAACCTGATTGTTTATTTAACTATTTTTTCATAGTAACTATAATTTATAGGTCCGCCAAAACTACAAAAAATGCAATTAGGGCACCAATAAAAAATCGTTAGTATAAAAAAAAATGTTTTAATAAACAATTGCGTATTATTATTGGAAGTCTCCCGCAGAGAACCAGAGCTTTCCGATCCAAAAATATTGATTTTCAAGAAATCCATACCATTTCTACGAATTTTTTTGTTCCCATATAAAATAAATTGAAAACTTTGAGCGTTTTGAGCGAACTCTAAAAATTTTTTGATGCGAAAATAAATAAATAGGGGTAAATTTTTTCGACGTAGAACAATCCTAGGGATGAAAGCATTAAAATTCCGACTTTACCCATTTTGGATCACCCTAATGTGTATGCATACATGTACGAAAACAAAAGGTATTAAGATAGATTTGAACAAAGCTCCGCTTCGTTAGCTTGCAGTGGCAACGAATCATCTTACAATCGATTAGACAATCTACCAAAACACATAACTATGTATGTATGCCTATAAAAAGTCAACTTTTTTTGTCGGTTTTTGTGTTTTTTTGGTTTTTACCGTCCAAGTTCAAAGTCAAGTCGAGTGTTGCGTTTAAGAAAGCAGACGTAGCTAAGCTTAAATGGCAAAAAATATGTAATCATACATGCATGCATGTACATATGTATTTGTGTATACTAGGGTGGTCAAATATTCTTTTTCCAGCCACCCCCCTCCCCCCCAAAATTGAAGAACATCGAAAATTAAGAGACCCAATTTTTTATGTAATCGGTTGATATTTAACTGTGCCGCCGGGGCTTTGAAGTGAAAAACTGTATTTTCCCCATATAAAATATATCATTTTCTATAACCCTGGTGACGACAGCAAAAGTATTCAAAAAATTGGATTCTCCTCTGTATTTTTGGACCATCCTAATGTATATGCATTTACTTAGAGACCGAACACAGTGTCATTAAATATTTATGCCATGTGGGCTTGGAAGTCAAAGCAAATTGCGGCTTTGCATTCACGTTTCGAAAACTATAAAATGCAGACTCAAAATGAATATGTGTGAGAATCGTCTGCGCCGGCGCAAAGAAGGTGTGTTCGAATTCAAGCTACATTATACTTATTTATGCAAACATCTCACATACATACATATACCGGTATTATATTAAATACATAAGTGTGTGAGTGTCAATGTGGTGGCACTTAATTTAACCACTCAACAATGTAATTGAGATGATGGCAAGACGCCTCGTTGTTCTGAACGTGACATTGGTTGAATTGTGGGCAGGGAAATACTAAGCTAAATGCAGAAAGTAATTTGCGATATTATTTTCCAATATTAAATGCTTTGTAATTTGGAAACCTAGAACTTTACCTCAGCAATCGCAGTATGTGAATAATACTAATATACAGTGGTGTCAGAAATAATAGAAGCTTTCTATTTTGATCAGTTCTGGCTATATTTTTTTTGGTTATTCGAAGTTTAATATTTTTTTTTTTTAGAAAAGCCCGGCGCGTTATATAAGAAGCACCATATAAATCCATATTGCAAACTTCTTACAAAACTTATAAAAATGTAACAAATTTTACCAAAATCCCCCAAAATTTTCAAACTTTTATTCAGAAATTTTAGAAAAATTGTAAGGACGAAAAATTGAATTTGATGGGCTATAAATCGTTCCTTAAATTTCTGAATAAAAAGTTTGAAATTTTGGGGTATTTTGGTAAACTTTGTTAAATTTTTGTAACCTTTGTTTAAATTTTGAAACGTGGATTTATATGGTGCTAGGTAAAAAAGGCGCTAGACCTTAAACGAATTCTAAACCTCGAATAAACACAAGAAATATAGCCAAAACTGGTCAAAATTAAAAGTTTCTATTATTTTCTCCACCACTGTACATACATACATACAAGTTCTGTATATGTACATGAACATGTTTTGCATTTTGAAATCGAACACTCTCTTAATCGCTTTTTTTGTTGTTCTTTAACATTTTTAATGCCAACTTTTAGCGGTTTCGTATTATAATCACTGCTGGAAATCCTTAACAGAAATCGATCGCGAGTTGGTCTTTTTTCGCTGTACTTTGGTTCATTGCTCCCGCTAATGATTCATGCAATCTATTTATTAAACATTTAGTGGGGATAGCGCCCAGAAAGTGTACTTTTGCGCACGTCTTTTTTTTATTTGATTTGTTTATGACGTTCGCTTCTGGCTTGCTAAGCATTTGTGACAGAAAGGCGTGTCTTTTTACAGTTTTGTGGTTTGCCTCGAGCCCACTTCTCACTTGACACTTTATGTGTTCGCCCAGCTCACAGACATTTATTACATACATATGTATGTATGTATGTTTTTATGGTTCAAAAGCCTTTGGGCTAAGCGTGTGTTATTTGATCTGTCAACAGCTGACTTCTAAAAACTTTAGTAGTTCGAATTTCATGTAAAAGTATATGTAAATGTATATGTGTTTCAATATACATACCCTGCAAAAAATGGGACTAATCCAGGATGACTCCGGGAGCAATCGTAGAGGAGCATGCGATTAATACCACTTTTGATCTCTTTATATGGAATGAACTGATCGCTTTTGTTCGAGCATGTCCTATGAAGAGACTAATTGTTCACCTTTATACCCGAACGGGTATAAAAAGCGAGTAGGCACTTTTAAAAAATAAAAATAAAAATTTGCGACAGCTGAGATTCGAACCGGGGTGCTCAGTTTTATCAGGCAAATACTCTCTCTGTGTGCCAACGCCGCACATGAAATTTCATTGACGAAGTGCGTACATATCATTA